CCAGTGATCATGTCGCCCTCTCAGTGGCAGAATTCATAGGCACAATAATCAAATATAAGAGAAATAGTGCTGAGTAAGGTCTTTTAAAATATTTTCTTTGGTTCTGATTTCTGCTTGAGGTGATAGCCGTATGAGCGGTACTAGATGGATGGATGAATGGATACTTGGAGATGCTACGGGGATAATAACTCTGGTGTTCCTCTTTTGTAGGGCTTAGCATCCTTCCTCCCTCAGTGCTACACTTTTAGTCACTAATTGCTGCTGTGAAACTTGGGCTCCATTCATTGTATTAACTCTTCTTACAACTCTGATTTATAAGCCTTTTCCCTTTGTTACCTGATCCACCATTATATTAGAAAGGAAAAGCCAAATATGTCAGACTTTTAAGAGCCTTTTGTGAAATCAATGTGCACAACAGCTGGCATGGGGAATCGTAATATATTCCCTTAAGGGGATGCTTCTGTGGTCAGGAAGTGCATTGTTCCAGCACCCAAAATCCAATTTCTAGAAGATTGTTTATTATTCCAGTAGTTCTATTTGATTTGTAACCTGTTCTGTCTCCAAGGGTTTACATTAAAACTTTAAATCTCAAATTTATTTTCAAAAATGGGGAGAATGAGAGTCATTTGCTCACTGTTTGTGAGGTTCTCCTGAAATAGCCAGTGTTCTATGGTAGTGACTCAGAGAGCAGTTGGCAGTTTTGATGTGTGTCCATTCTGGAAGGAAGAGAGTGAAACATCCTGGCAGCCCTTGACCTTTTCTCAGGATTGGACCCTTGACCTGGGAATTGATTGTCTCTGTACCATGATCAATAACTGTATTTTGCTGCCCTGTGTTGCTAATGCCCACTTCCGCTTTTGTAACCCCCGCCTGCTTTGCACATCTGCTGGCTCTTCTTGCTACCTTATCTGTCCTCCCTGACATTCCTAAGGGGGGTGAGTGTGAGAACGATTGTATGGTGTTGAGTAGAGGCACTGCTTGTAACTTTTCCTAAGCTACCCCCCGCACAGTTCACAGGTCCAGCTGTGGCCTTGGGAGACAGGAGTCTTAAGATGCAACTAGTTGGGTCGTATATTCTCTCATGACCTGTAGTAGCCTGAATGGGTATGTCTGTTGGGCGGAACCCGTTCCCCACTATCCTCCCTTGGGTTATTGATAGTTAGTTCTGGCAAAGGTGTTTACCTGACCAGAAGCCATATCTTACCAATAAACCTGATCTATTGTGTACAGAGTGGTTACTCCAGGATCTGACAGATTGCCAGACCTACCATTCTCTCTGACCCGGCAACCCCTCTCCATCTGGAACGGGGAACGGAGATGGAGGCAATGAGGCAGGCACCAGTACCAGCTCTGAGCCTGATGGGGCTGCCCCCGAGGAACACAAGAAGGAGTCCCATAAGACCAGGACTAAGCCAAAGAAGCAAGTCATGTTTCATCCCTTAGATCATTGGGATAAGCTGGCCACGCTGGGCTCGAGTGCAGACTGAGAAGGAACGGTGGAGGGTCTCTCACTCTGCCCGAGCGGACCCAAACCAGGATGCGTGCTGAGTTGAAGGCGCTTAAAGAGGGGCTCCAGTTCCTGATCAAGAACCTCCCGAAGGTGGTGAAGGAACTGATGGAGGAGGCGAGGAGGCCAGTGGCGAGGAAGAGGAGGAAGCTGAACCCCCCTCCCAACCAGCCCCACACCGGCCTGAGTGGGAGTGGCCTAGGGATGCCTTGGAAGTGATGTTCGATAGGGACCCGGCCAAGCTGGCATTCTTTGTGATTCAGGTACGCAAGATGCTGCGTGAGTGGGGCCACACTTTTGCTTCGGATGAACAGCAAGTAGACTTTGTGGGATTGCGGCTGCGTGAGCATGCGGCCGACTGGTTCGTCGGGCTCTACAATGTGGCCGCTCCTGAATTGCAAGATGTAGACGCCTTCATGCAAGCTCTACAGCACCAGTTTGAGGACCCCTTGGAGATGGAGAAGGCGCAAACCTGGCTTAGAGGTGTTCGACAAGGAACCTGGTTGGTCAGTCCAAGAATACTTCGGTGAATTCAAGGCCACAGCGGCCAAGTTGTTGGGATGGCTGGAAGAGGTGCTCATCGAGTTCTACCATGCGGGCCTCAGCCCTCTGCTCCTCGAGAAGGCCCTGGCTCAGGGCAGCCCCCTCACCCTGGCGGGATGGATCGGGGTGGCATGCGAGGCTGAGAACCGCCACAACCTGGTGAAGCGATACCATCAACGTGGACCCGTGGGGGGGGGGAGCCAGCCGGAGAGCGCAAGGTCGGGGTTTCCCTTTGCAAGGTGAGAGAGAGCAACAGTTCGAGAAAGGGCTGTGCCACCTCAACGCTAAGCAAGTGCATTGGGCTGAATTCTTTTCCAGGTTTCAGTTTACTATTAAGTATCTCCCGGGAAAATCTAATTTCCTCTCCGATGCCCTATCCCACCTCCCACAACATGCTAGCCAGAGGGAGGATGTGACTGACACTGTTTTCTCCCCAGCGCAATTAGGGCGGGGGGCTGTGCAGATGCACAGCCAAGCAAAGGAAAGGGGGGTTGAGGAAAACCCCGACTGGCTAGAAAAATGTAAGGAAGCCTTCTCGGCACAAGACCTGGATTTAGTGGTATGAGAAAGTCTACAGCACCAAGAAAATGGCCCATGGTGTAAGGGGGAGGAAGTCTATGTACCCATATCATTACGGGGTGACATCTTATCCCAAAGCCATGACAGTAAACTTTCTGGTCATTTCAGCTACTTAAAAACCTTACACCTTGTTCAGAGACAGTTTTGGTGGCCAGGCATGAGAAAAGATATTTCAACCTACGTGGCCACTTGTCAAACATGCATTATGAGCAGACGGGGGGGGGGGAGGTTCCAGGGCAGTTGCAACCCTTGGAAACCCCTGAACGCCCCTGGGCCGTGATTTCTATGGATTTTATCACTGACTTGCCATTTAGCCAAGGGAAAACAGTAATCTGGGTGGTTGTGGATCTGTTTGCCAAACAAGCACATTTCATACCATGCAAGGGTGTACCCACGGCTAAGCAATTGGCCACCCTCTTCCTGCAACACGTGATCAGGCTGCATGGTCTGCCTGAGAAGGTTGTGAGCAACCACAGCACTCAATTCATTGTCAAGTTTTGGAAAGAGCTCATGAAACTGCTCGGGGTCGAACGAGGAGTGAGTAGTAACTACCATCCAGAAACGGATGGCCAAACTGAACGGACTAATCAAATCCTGGAACAGGTGTTACGTTGTTATGTGAACTACCAGCAAGACAACTGGGTGTCCCTGCTGCCCTTCACCGAGTACAGACACAGCTCAATCAGGATGAGCCCTTTTAAATCAGTACACGGGTATGAAGGGGGCCCCCTTCCGCTGGTAGATCTAGGCTAACTCCTCGCCAGTGACACTCTACTATGGTGGTCTAATGTAACTAAGAATTGGGAGGCACTCCGTGAGACTTTAGAAAAGGCTAAGAAAGACTATAAAAATATGCTGATTGGAAACATTGTCCTGAATGAAATCTTGTTCCTGGTGACTCTGTGTATATTTCTTTTCTACCAAAATAAAAGGATTACAACCCCGTCAGAAGTTGGGGTGGAAGTACATTGGGTCCTTTAAGGTTGTGCATGTTGTCAACAAGGTGGCTGTTGAACTTGATCTCCCTAAATCCTTGCGTTCTTTGCATCCTGTGTTCCATTAGAGGTTATTGAAACGGGGCCCAGCTTGCCCTGAGCACGCAAACCTCAAGCTCCACCTCTTCTTCTGATCGATGGGGAACTCCACCATGTAATTGAAGAGGTTTTGGATTCCCAGTTGTTTCATGGACAGCTGCAGTACCTGATTAAGTGGAAAGATTTTGGTCCTGAGGAAAACGAGTGGGTTGCTTCCAAACATGTTAGGGCCCTCACCCTTCTCTGAAGGTTTCATAAACTGTACCCTGACAAGCTGGGGGAAGGGTGAGCTTGAGGGGGGTGGTATGTCAGGATCGCACCCTTGACCTGGGAATTGATTGTCTCTGTACCATGATCAATAACTGTATCTTGCTGCCCTGCGTTGCTAATGCCCACTTCCACTTTTGTAACCCCTGCCCGCTTCGCACATCTGCTGTTTTGACTTATTACCTTATCAGTCCTCCCTGACATTCCTAAGGGGGGGTGAGTGTGAGAACTGTTTCATGGTGTTGAGGTGCTCTGTCTCTGTTTCCGAGCGCACCCCCCCCCCCCCCGGTTCACAGGGAGACAGGAGTCTTAAGATGCAACTAGTTGGGTCGTATATTCTCTCATGACTTGTAGTAGCCTGAATGGGTGTGACGTATGTCTGGTGGGTGGAACCCGTTCCCCACTATCCTCCCTTGGGTTATTGATCGTTAGTTCTGGCAAAGGTGTTCACCTGACCAGAAGCCATATCTTACCAATAAACCTGATCAAGGGCTATTGTGTACAGAGTGGCTACTCCGGGACCTGCCATTTCTGGCTGGTGACCGCTGTGCCAGGCTGTCCTTCCCTCGCTTGGATGGGGGGGTGGGAGGCAGAGATACTGGCAGCTGTTGGTCCTCTGGCTGATGGCTCGCTGCAGAAGCATCCACGTGGCTTTGAAGGTTGTCTGCTCCCCCTCCTCAGTAGTACACCCCTCCCTTATTCTAGCGTGACTAGAAATTCCCTGGTCTCCTGTTTTTAAAAACAGAAAGCTAACTCCACACAATGCAGTATGTAAAGACAGGATGTTGCACCAGAGATAGCGGTAGTATCATGAGAAGAATAGAATCCTTTTCCAGAGGCTTCTTTATTTCTTGCTTGATCCTTGCCTTGTGCCCACTACTTTCCTGCTACCACCTCTCGTGCCCCTGGTCATGATCAGTGGGAAATGGGCGTCTCTGCTGTGCACCAGCTTGCAGAAGAGGGTACTGTGTGGCACTGGCAGTAAGCATGAGCCAGTGGCTGGCTTTTGTGCTTCTGACATGTCAAGGGATGCTGCAGACTGAAAGGGATACTCTTCTTTCTGCTTCCAGCCTGGTCTCCAAGCAGAAGGGAAGATGGCACCAACCTTGCAGCGGGCCTACCGCCGACGCTGGTGGATGGCCTGCACCGCAGTGGTGGAAAATCTCTTCTTCTCAGCTGTCCTGCTGGGCTGGGGCTCACTGCTCATCATGCTCAAACACGAGGGGTTCTACTCATACGTGTGCATAGGTGAGGATGGGAAGCTCGGGGCCTTACAAGCCGGGCTAAGGCAAAAGCTGACGGTGGTGGGAGGCCGGGCAAAGGCGGCGGGGTGGGTGGGGGGATGAGTGGCCCTTGGAAGCCTGCCAGGCGTCCCCGGAAAGCTCAGCTGAGTATGCAGTCGTCCCCGGGTAGTCTGTTTCTCACATTTTCCAAACCAGTCAAACTTGTGTGGGGAAGGGGAGTTGGCTAGAGTTATGAATGAGCTCGGTAGAGAGTGAGACACATCAGCAGTGAATAGAAACTGTGTTGCTGATGAAAGACAGCGAGAGATCAACAACAAACGGGCATGTCCGTTTTCAGCCTTGGTGGAACTGACATTAAGCTCTACTCGGTAAGGCAGCGTTGAGGATTCAGGGGCTCATTTAAAATGGCACCAGTGCCACATGGGCACCGTTTCAAATAGTCTCCATAGGATGCTGCTGCCTTCCGGGCAGAAAGCCGTTTTCGCGCAGTAGGACCGGGTGGGTGTAGGGGTCTGTGGGGTCTGTGCTGGAGAGGGCAGAGTCTGACCCTGCTGGCCTTGCTTGCTTCAGGTGAGAACGGGACCAGTGACCTCATCACGGCTGACTTTCACCCCAGCTGTGTGGAACAGGAGGAAATGCTCAACCTGGGCTTCACCATCGGCTCCTTTTTGCTGAGTGCCGCCACCTTGCCTCTCGGGATACTGATGGACCGATTTGGCCCTCGGCCACTCCGCCTGCTCGGCAGGTATGGGACTGGGGCAAACTGGACTTGGGTTCCTGGGAAGCAGGTTCTTGGGTTGAAGGAGACGAAATGGTTATAAAAGGAGCTCTTGGGTGGAGCACGAGGTCTGCTGGAGAAAGGAGGCCACTGGATCGGCAAGGGGATGGTGTGTCAGAGGCAGCAAGGGGGTGGGATATGTGGGGAATGATGTCCCAGAATGGTTTTGGGATGTCTGCCTGAGAACATGACTGAGCCCAACCTTGCTCTGATGCATCTCTTGCTTTCTCTACAGTGCCAGTTTTGCGGTCTCCTGCGCTCTCATGGCTTTGGCTGCTTACAGCCCACCAGGTGAGAAGGCGGTTCAAACTGGGATTAGCAGGTAGCAACCAGGAGGAATATCCCCCCTTCCCTCATCTCTGTTAACAGCCTTGCAACTGCAAAGGAGGGATCAAGTGTAGCTCCGCCCATCATCTCCCCAGGCCCTATTGCAGCTCCGCCCATCTCCACCCACTCAGAATTCTTGTGCTCCTCTACAACTGCCATGGCTGTACGTGAGAAATGGGACTTTCAAAGGAGCAGGACTCATGAAATAATTAGTTATCGTATGGCAGTGGGTGTAGAATAGCCAGGAGGTCTGAAGATTGTCTGGCAGCCTGTAACTCTTGCTGTTTTTGTGATGAGCTAGGTTTGTTTTTTGGGCTGAGAGAACTGTGGCTGACCCAAGGCCACCCAGCTGGCTTCTTGTGGAGGAGGAGTGGGGAATTGAACCTGGTTCTTCAGATTAGAGTCCACCTCTTTTAACTACAACACCAAACTGCAATCTACATCAGGGCTGTGAATGTTAAAGAGATGAAGTAGTTTTCCAGGCTGCAAACTGGCCGCCTGAGAGGTTTAATCCGTTCTTTCCACCTAGCGTGAGGCTCTCCACTGTTTCCTCCATGCCTTCTGTTTGTTTGTTCCCATCACAATCCCACCCACCCCTTCTTTGCTGCCGCCATTCGCCTGCTCACCTCGTCTTTCTGTTCTGCCTCCCCAGTTCTTTCCCCACTGATTTTTCTTGGCCTTTCCCTGAACGGCTTTGGTGGGATCTGCCTGACCTTCACCTCCCTAACTGTGAGTATGAGGACCGTGCTGGGATGCACTTTTCATGGTGAAAAGGGATGGGAAATGTATCTCCTGCATAGCCAGAGGGAGGTGGTTGAACTTGTCCGAGATGCAAAATATAAAATAGTTCTCGTTTAACCTAGGTGACCATTCAGGCCTTAATTACCCTTAAGTGTCATTAGGAAGTGCCCTGATGCAAAGATGGGGATGAGTTTCCATCTTCCTGTCACAGTCTCACACTGAAGGAAGATTTCAGCAGGTCTCAGGAATGGGGAAGCAAATGGTGATGGGCTCATGAGCAGCAGGGGCTGGGCACCGCGTACCACCCAGGATGGACTGCGTATCTCTTCAGTGCAACAGTCCGTTGTTCCAGGGTGTGTGAGGCTGCAAGATTCTTGAGATACGCCTGTACAGAATAACTGTAGTTCACCCCCTACTGACTTGTCATTTAACTTATTTACTAAGCATTGCTGCTCGTTTTCTATGCTAGTACCTGGCCCAGTTCTTATGTGTTTGGTTTTGCTGGAAGTCCTTTCATATTTGCTGGGAGTCTGAGATAATGCCTTTTTTGATTTGGATAACTGGAGCACTGGGAAACGGTCTCTCTTCCATCTGCATCCACTACGTAACTGCTCTTCTTTGAGCTTTGCTACCACCCTTTATGCAGTGTGTGTTTATGGGTCTCATATGCCTGGGGTTTGGTCTTGGGGGCAGAAAGCAAGATCCTGGAAAACCCCTGAATCTCAGCCCCCTGTGGAAAAATAGGCTTGGAAAGGTACATGGATAAAACTTGATGAAATCTTGCAGTGAAACTATGTGCTATGTGTTGTATACCATTCGTGATTTTTTTCAAAAGCATTTTGAAAGTTCATTTAAAAGCTTTGGGGAGGGTGGAATGTGGGAGGAGAGCAGCTCTCCCCCCCCCCCCCCACATGTTGCAGGAAGAGAGTCCACCTCAGCCAGGCCGCTTTTATTCCCTTCAGGGGAAGCCTGCAGGGGATTGACAGGCTCTTTTTCCAGGGATTTGGAAGAACCTGTAGTCTGTGGTTGTGGAAATCGAGCTGCTTAGTTCTGCTGAAAGTGCAGTTTGCTAAAGTTATTGATTCCGAGTTTTTCTGGGATTGGCTATGGCTCAGTGGCAGAGCCTCTGCTTGGCATGCAGAAGGTCTCAGATTCAGTCCCCTACATCTCCAGTTAAAAAATGATCAGGTGGTAGATGATACAAAAGTCCTATACCTAAGACCCTGGAGAGTCACTGCCTGTTGGAGCAGATAATGCTGAACTTGATGGAGCAACAGTCTGGTTCAGTATAAGGCAGCTTTATGTGTTGGTAGAACTTTGAAAAGCATTCTTCCATTATTGTTGGAAGCAAAATAATGGCGGGAAAGATCCATGCCGTCACTTGGCATTTCTGTGTCATGAAGGGCCATGTGCTGTCTGCAGACGTGGATATGATTTGTGCATCAACAGTGAATGTTTGTCACCTGCCTGTATAAATCACGCAGATTCATCTGTGTCTCAGTTCCACATTTTTTGTATCATGGCACCTACATGAAGCGCTGAATCCATGATTCTCATGGAGCAGTTTGTTGGTGGGTTTTGTTGTCTCCATATAAAACACTATGAGGATCCATGCTGTGAACCTCACTTACCCACGGTAGTGCCATAATACGCAGGATTCTATTCTTTGTATTAGTTAGTTATTTTGAACATTCATAGTGCACCTGCGGACCAGAAAACCAAGGGTGGTTAATGAAATATTGCAGTCATTAAAATCTCAATAATCACATAATCTGCCTCCTCATGGTCCTGCCTCTTGTATTGTTTTTCATACTCATTCTCACTATTGTTGCTTCTTTTAAGCAGTTTAATGCTGCTTATTGTTTTATTGCCAGCCTTTTAACTGCTATAAATGGTAAACTGTTTCAGTAGCTAATCTAGCTGAGAGTGTAAGGTATAAATATTTTAAATAAATGAATAAAATAAGATCACTCTGTTCTCATAAAGTGTAGCAGTTGTATTGCAGTGTGGCAGAATTCAACTTCATATTATCTCTCCTTTCTGTGTGTGTGAGTTTTCCTTCCAAGGTTTGTGTACATGCAATAGCCTCCTTTGGCACTGGAATACGTGTGTGTGTGTGTGTGTGTGTGTGTGTGTGTGTGCATACGTGTGTTTGGGTTTAGGGGCCTGTTCTTGTACTGGCATGTGTACCATGCAGATGCTAGAAGTGCCTGCCTTTTTCTTCCCCGGTAGTGCAATCCGATGCCATGTTACTACTGGTTTAAGTTGGAGTAACTTTTTAAAAATAGTGGTGGCAGAGGGGCTTGAATTGGGATCAGTATACTTGAGCGGGAGAACTGTCAGTCCCCTTCCCTATATTGCTCTCTGGAGGTAGATCTCAACCCCGCAACCCTATTTGCTCTGCTGTGAGACATTTTTAACACCACCGCCCAGTCAGCCACGGTCCTGATTTAGTTTAGAGCTGCTTTTAAAATCTGGTCAAATAGGAGATTCAATCAAGGCTCCCCTTTGTTTTGTCTACTTTGACTCTGAGGTTCCAGTGAGGCCTTTGATATGATGACAACATGCACCTGTTGGCTGTGCGGCTTAGAATGATAAAGTGTGGAGGAGGATGGTGTATTTAACAGTTGTGCAGAAGAGTTTTGGCAGGTGCATTTTGTTGTTTGGGGCTGAGAAGAGCTGAACAAGTTGAAATTCCCTCTTCTACGTGATGGTCAAAGGCACGGGAGACCTGTCCTACTCTGTTTCTGATCACTGCAGTGCTGGCCAAGCCTGTGTGGCAGACGGCATCCTCTGACTGGGACCATGGCAGGAAGGGCCGTGCGCCTTTCTGGGCATGTCAAACTGATCTGTGTTGGCAAAAAAAGAAGAAGAAAGGACAAAGCTTATCTGACTGGGGGTTGCCCCCAGGATCTGACCTGACCTCGGCCTCCTCCACGTGGGGACTTCATGCCCCACTGCATAATTCTGATGTGGGGAGGTGCGGCTCATTTCCAGTTTGTCCCCAGATGCATGTGGAGTGATGTTTACTTCCCACTTCCCAACTAGATCACACTGACTTTTGGCACAGGAAGGCATAATGCTCACTAAGTACATAAAATGGGTCAAATAGGTAGTAGCCAATTAGAAGGCAGAACTAAATGCCACACCCTCTCCTCCCATGCCTAGCAAGGGCATGGATTAAGAAACGTGGCACCTTCCGCTCCTGTGCATATCAAATCAGAGGGCTTGGCCTAGAGCCATATCGCAGTGTTGTCCCAAAGAGAAAGGAGTGGGGAACTAGACATGTTCAGACTAAATCTAGACTCATTTATTGGGAAGTGTATTTCATTGATATACTTCTGGGGAGGGGTCACAGCTGTTACCTCCTTATCCTGCATGCAGGAAGCCCTGGAATTAGCCCATCTCAGAACAGTAGGAAATCCCCTCCCTCTGCCACAGCTATGTCTGAGAATCCTGACTCTTTACATCTGAGCTCCCCTCCTGATAAGTAGGATTTTTTGGTGTCCTTTCCAGGTCCTGAGTCTTTAATAGTAGCTTGATCTGCTGACATTAATAGGTAATAGTGTCTACTTCCACATTGCAAAAAATAATATCCTTTTTAGCAAGGATTAATAATTAATAATATATGTGTGCGCGCACAGATACACGCAAAATAGAAGAGAGAAATAAAATCCAGTTTTTAGGTGCTCTGAGTACAAAGTAGGTTATGTTGAATATAGCATTTCAATTGGCAAAAGAAAGTGCAGAATGGGAGGCAAGAAAGGTGTTTGGATGAGAATTTTAAAAATGTGCTTGAAATATGATCTCCTTTTGAGTTGTGGAACTGTGATAAGGGCTGTTTTAGGGATCTGTTGCGTTTGTGAGTAAGAAAGAAGAAGCTGGGAGGTCATGTGGAATTGCGGGGGGGGGGGAGCTTAGACATCCCACCCAACCCCTTCCAAGTGTGCACGGGTGGAGAGTGCCATCCAGCCACAGCTGACTTAGGGTGACCCCAGAGGGCTTCCGAGGCAAGAGGCGCTCAGAGGTGTGGCTGGCCACGGCCTGCCTCCGCATCACAGCCCTGGTGTTCCTTGGAGGTCTCCCATCCAAATACTAGCCAGAGCTGCTTCGCTTCTGAGACTGGAGGAGGTTGGGCTCGCCTGGGGGATCTAGGCCCCACCCCCCTTTCCCCCGTAACTGACATTCAGCTGCTCTCCTTCCATTCATAGGCCATCGATGGCACGTCAGGGAATGGCCGTGGCCTCTGTGCCCTGTTTGTTGCTCCTCCAAGGCACCTGGTTGGCTGCTGGTTGGAGAGCCAGTCTGGTGTTGTGGTAAAGTGCACTGACTCTAATCTCGGAGAACCGGGTTTGATTCCCCACTCCTCCTCCACTTGCACCTGGCTGGATGACCTTGGGCAAGCCACAGTTCTGACAAGAGCTGTCCTTGAGAAAGAGCAGTTTCTGTCAAGAGTTCTCTCAGCCCCACCTCACAGGGTGTCTGCCTGTCGTGGGGAGGGGAAGGGAAAGGAATTTGTAAGCCCCTCTGAGACACCTTTGGGTAGTGAAGGGTGGGGTATAAATCCAATCTCTTCTCTTCTTCTTCTTCTGTATGAAACAGGTTGCTAGACTAGATGGACCACTGGTCTGATGGAGTCGAGGTCTTCTTATGTTCTGATTCTGGTTTTTCCTCCCGTTTGTCAGTTTACAAAGTCATATTTTTCTACGTACCTGGAGAGTCCCTACGTACCTTGTCTTTGGGTGGCCCAGTTTTGCAGCTTTCATCATCCACAAAAGGATGAGTGATTGTGTAAAAATGAATGCCCTATAGGAACCCTAGAGAAGAGCTACCTGAAAATGGTGGGCAGGGGGCATTTATTGATTTAGAAAACTTTTTTTCTACTAACGGCTCTCTCGTCTTGCATTTCTTCAGCTGCCCAACATGTTTGGGAATCTGCGCTCGACCTTCATGGCGCTCATGATTGGGTCATATGCTTCATCTGCTGTTACCTTTCCTGGTGTCAAGGTATGTAGCTAGATGGGGATGATACAAGCGTGAACCGTTCCAGCTGCCTGGCATGGGATGCACCTTATTCCTGAAGACCTCATGATGTATGTAGATGTGCGCTATCTTCCCGCTGAAGGAGATGACACGTGTATGATTGATTCTGAGGGGCTTTATGGGGGTAGGGGCAGGGTAAAATCTAAACGGCATGATCACTGTCCTAGGAGTGATGGCTTTGGACATTCTTCCAAAGTATGGGAGGAAGCCTGAGTGATTTGTGCTTATCTGTCACTATTGCTGCTTTAGTGCCACCCAAGGTCTTCTCTGTTGTTCCACCCCTTTATTTCTCTGTCTCTCTCTCTTTTGTTCTCAGCTTATCTATGACGTTGGTGTTTCCTTTATCAATATCATGCTTGTCTGGTCAAGTCTGGCTTGCCTCCTCTTCCTCAATTGTTTGATCAACTGGCCAAAGGAGTCCTTCCCAGCTCCTGAAGAAGCCAACTACACGTGAGTCAGACCACATGGCCCTTTAGTCCTTCCAAGCAGACAGAAAAATTGAGAGCGCTATAGGGGGAGTGTGGCTATTCTAGGTACAGTTTCCACCACATTCATGAAAATACGGAAGAGGTACTACATAGAGTGGCAGAGGAGCTGGCCATCTTTTCTCTAGTGTGTTGTCAGCATTAAAATAGTATGCACACGCAGGCGAAGCTTTGTTCATATACCTATGTGGTGAGTGTGAGCAAATACTGACTGTGAGCTGAAGTACACAATTTCCACAATTTCCTCCATATGTCTCAGTGAGAGTCTTTTCCCATGTGGTGCCAACAACTAGAAAGATACACTATAAGAGAAACCGGAAACCACGTTGGACTTCTTTGACATATTCTGGAGGACTTCTTTGATATATCATGGACTTTGGAACTTTGTTAACAATTTTGGGATTGAAATGGATCGCTTAGAGCATTGCTTGTTTGGGATTTCCCCCCTATGTTAGAAATGTTATGAACGAGACATTCTATTGTATAGGTGTTGTGTTATTTCATTAATTTATAATATAAAATTACACTGACATTTTTCATACAATATTTGAATCTTTATTAAGATTTTTGAAAGATTATTGTAATTAGATATTGGATGTCTCTTATTCACAGTGTATCTGTCTAGTTGTTGGTTCTTACCACTGTGATTGTTTTTGGCCCGTTACTATTCCTGTGGTGCCGGCATGAACCAATCTGTGAATGCCAGGCTCCCAACAAGCTTGCCATGTGTGTCCACTGTTACGTAGGCTGCTAGCACATCTGGAAAGCCACATTGTACAGCGGCACCTGCTTTACTCCAGTCTACGGTGTATTCATTGGTGGTGTGGTGAAGACAGTTTGGTGAAGATGTTTTGAACACATGTTCAACTGCCTTTTGAGGCATTTATTCTCAGAGCAGAGAATGTGTATTCAAACCATATTGCATACACTTGGAATGTCTGTCCTTCTTGAATAGTCCGTAGGGTGATTTCCCACAAGCGCTGCTCCGCGCTCACTCTTCTCTGGCCCGATGTTACATGTCAATTTCACACAAGCTGCCGCGCGGCTGCATTTTGCCCCCAGCTTCGTGCGATTTCCCCCGCGTCTATTCAGTCCTGTTTTTTGAGGATTGAGTAGACGCGGGAAAAATCGCACAAAGCTGCAGGGCAAAATGCGGCCGCGCGGCAGCTTGTGTGAAATTGACATGTACCTTCGGGGCAAAAGGGAGGCGTGAGCGCGGAGCAGCGCTTGTGGGAAATCACCCCATAGGTTTTGATGCTCAAATCTCAACAAGTGGATGTTTCTCACCCTTACGTAGGCGACGTTTGTCCCTGGGCCCACTGGGCTCAACCACCTACATCTCCCGTTGCTCTTCCCAAGCACCAAAAGTGCCCTCACTTAGGTGGCTTTTCCCAGGAGAATCGTTCTCCTGCTGCTGTGGGAAAACTGTTAACCCTGAGCAGATACTTTACTTTAACCAGCATGATGGTATAATTCCTGTGTAATCCCCCAATATTCCTGAGGCAGGAAGAAGATCAAACTGAGCAGTCTGGCCCTCGATCACAGAGTCACGGGTGACCGTTTCTACATGCACGTGAAGGTTGTGGGGAAGCGGCTGAGCCAAAAAGCTCCACATCTGGATGGGAGCAAGGAGGAACACCAACCGTCCATTCGGGATCTCCGCAGTGAGGCCACTGAGTCTTCCCAGGGTGAGTGGCTCTAATGGTATCGCCATGCCCGCAGCGTAGCCCAGCTGAGTGAGTGGAAAGAGTTCCTTACTCGTGAACATCTCCAATTAGGGCTGGAATTTGCCCCATGTTTTGAGGCTCCTCCCAGACCCTTTGCAAGGATAAAGTTTTTCTGGCAAGGTTTCCTGAGGGAAGACTTTTGTAACTGAGGGACTGATCTATGTCCCTGACAGCTGGTTTTTTTTTTTTTTGGCAAGTCCCCAGGCCAGTTGCACCAATCAAGCTTCATTATAGGCTGAGGGCAGACCCTGACATCCAGCACCATCTGTTGGCAGGAGGGAGTACCTGCACCTTTGGCATCAATCCTCCAGTTGAAAGGGAAACAAGCCCTTTTGCATTCTAGGGTGTGGCAAGGATTTTTCTGTCTTTAAGAGACTTACATTGATATGAAGGGATACCTTCATGGCAGAAATAGCGTTGGAACCCATTCTTATTCAAGTTACTGTCCTATGTACCCCTTCTTTTGTTAAAGACAGAATATACAAATACTGAATACCAGAGATTCCTTTCATAGAATCATAGAATCTTAGAGTTGGAAGGGACCTGGCGGGTCATCTAGTCCAACCCCCTGCACTCTGCAGGAGCATAGCTGAAAGATAGCCCTACATACCTACAACATACCCGAAAGATGGTCGTCCAGCCTCCACTTGGAAACGTCCAGCAAAGGAGCATCCACCACCTCCTGAGGCAGGCTGTTCCACGGCTCAACCACTCTTACAGTTAGGAAGTTTCTCCTGATATTTAGCCGGTAACGACTCCCTTGTAATTTCCACCCATTAGATCTAGCCTTGCAATCCGGAGCAAGAGAAAATAGATCTGCTCCATCTTCTACATGACAGCCCTTCAGATACTTGAAGACTGCAATCCTGTCCCCTCTAAGCCTTCTCTTTCCCAGGCTAAACAGACCCAACTCTTTCAGCCTTTCCTCGTAAGACTTGGATTCCAACCCTCTCACCCTCCTGGTTGCCCTCTTCTGGACACGCTCGGGCTTGTCAACATCCTTCCTAAAATGTGGTGCCCAAAACTGGACACAGGACTCCAGGTGGGGCCTGACCATAGCAGAATAGAGCGGAATGACCACCTACCATGATCTGGACACAGTGCTTCTGTTTACGCATCCTAAGATTGCATTCGCTTTCTTCACAGCCAAGATTAGAGCCAGAGGCTCTTTCTATCAACTGAACCCCACCCCTTATTCCAGAGCTGGCACAAACCTTTGAATTGTTGGCTTTCCAGAGGAAACCGTTGCCCTGCTCTGAGATCTGGGAATCCAGGCTGGTGCGGGGGGTGCTGGAGATTAATCTTGGGAACAGCGGGAATCCCAGGATGCATCACACGGTCTGTATCCTGTTCCTCCCAGGTGCAGGGCCTGTCCCCTTCCGCCGTAGCGTCTGCTCGCCTATCTTTCTGTGGAGTCTGATTACGATGGGCATGACCCAACTGCGCATCATTTTCTACATGGCAGCCATGAACAAGATGCTGGAGTTCCAGGCGACAGGTGGCAGAGACCATGGTGAGGACTCCATGGTTGAGGTGAAAGGGTCAGTCAACCCAGGGGCAGTGGGCAGCTGGAAGAGAAAAAGGGGGTGCCGGAGACAGAAAACCTTCAAAGGCCCCCACTCTGATTACCGTGATGCAATCTATTACTACTTTCTCCCTTTTTTCCCTTGTGAATTTCAGTATCAGCTGAGCTGAGGAATGAAGCTGAGCAAACAGGTAGGAACCCTGCCTCAGAACTGTCAAAGTGTACTTGTACTCGTCAAGGTCAGGGTTTCCCTTGCTCAAAAGCCAGTCGAATCCGACTCTAGGGATGCTGTGGCTCATCTCCGTTTCCAAGCCGAAGAGAAATCCATCTTGGCCACCTCCCACACCATGTGCCAGTGTGATGCTGTTGCCTGGGCAATCTGTGGACGTCTTTGGTGCTTCAGAAAGACCAGGCAGCTCCATCTTCCCAGTGGTCTGTTCCATTTCACCTCTCCACGAAGCTTGGCTTGGGCTTTGGCACACTACTCTGTGATACTGTCCCCTCTAAGCCCCACAGTGTTGTGAGCATCCCCGCCCATCCTGGCTGTCAAAGGTGCCCAGTCTGGCTCCCGTTGACGTGGTCGAAGGCCTGGTGGACCAAGCTGCCTGGCCTTGTTGGGCGGTGCCTCTCCCCCCCTCCCCGTGGGCCAAGGCCTGTGACCTACTCCCCCCACTTACCAGGCCCCCCTGGTTCCTCGCGTCCGGCGCAGAGCCGGATGGCATGCCCCTCGTGTTGGGCTGGCTAGCTGGACCACGGTGGCAGTGCGAACGCCTGAGGCTGAGACAAAGGCAGCCGTCCTGCCGGGCGGCCCACCTCTCCTGCGAGGCTGCCGCTCTGGCCCGGAGCAGCCAAAGCACTCCCTGGCCCCTTCCTGGCTCGGCTGTCCCGGCCGGGCAGGAGAACTAAGGAGGACAGCCGCAAAGGGCTGCCCGGCCCCTTCCCGGCTCGCTTGCCTCGGCATGCGGGCGAGGAGGGGGTGGGGGGTCTCTGGGCAGCCACTCCCACTCGGCCGCCTTGGAGGTCTTTCCCCGTGCTGGGCGAGGGAAGTGCGGCACAGCCGCTTCCCCCCTCCGCAAGCGCAGCTGGGGCTGGGGGAAGGAACTCCCCCCAAGCAGGGCAGCATGGGCCTAGGTGACGAGGCTCGTCCCTCCCTCCCCAGCCACTCAGCCAATGGCACGCCAGTTACCCCGAGCAGCAGCCGACGGGCCAATAGCTGAGGGAGCGCATTTTTTCTCGCCACCCCATAGGACGGTGGCCACCCCAAATCCCTTTTATTATTTTATATATATAGTGAGCCGCACTGAGCCCGCCATGACAGGGAGGGCGGGATACAAATTTAATAAATAAATTTGGTGTAGTGGAATCTAATCTGGGAGAACCGGGTTTGATTCCCCACTCCTCCACTTGCACCTGGCTGGATGACCTTGGGCAAGCCATAGCTCTGATAAGAGCTGTCCTTGAAAAAGGGCAGTTTCTGTCAGAGCTCTCTCAGCCCCACCCACCTCACAGGGTGTCTGTTGTGGGGAGGGGAAGGGAAAGGAGATTGTAAGCCGCTCTGAGACACCTTTGGGTAGTGAAGGGCGGGGTATAAATCCAATCTCTTCTCTTCTTCTAAATGATAAGAGAAAACTGAATCAAGTCAAATTTCACCCGCCCCTTTCAACTATATTGGTAGACCTGGCCTCCAGAGAAGCGGTCTACCCACCCCTTTCCACTATATTGGTAGACCTGGCCTTGGACCATTGCCTTGTGCTGAGCCTTAGAAAACATACCAGCACTTAGGGGAGGGGAGGGGGGACTCTTGTAGTCTGCTTTGTTTTGGGTTTTTTTAGTGAACTGACAACCAGCATTACAGGTCAAGTATAACAGAGGAGGAACAATCACTGTCAGAACCCTGCCTACCCTAACAAACAGGAAGTTGCTTAAATGTTATCAACCTGCCCAAACTATTTATTTATTCAAATATTTATATCCCACTTTTCCCTGTGACTCAAGGCAGCTTACAAATCATACTGAAAAGCATAATAGAGGTGTGCAAAAATAAAATAAAATTCCCAGCTCCATTGTAGCCTGTGGGGACGATTATAGTCAATGGGCCTCATAGGCTATAATGGAGAATTGATCTAGGGCTATCTGGGGCTCTGGGGGGCTATTTTTGTTTTAGATAGAGGCACCAAATTTGCAGCATAGCTGCTGGTGTCTCTCCTCAAAAACTCCTCCAGAAGGAGGTACCCCCATCCTCCATTGTTTCCAATGGAGGAAAAAATTTCTTTTGAACAGAAGTTCACAACTCCTGAGCTGCCTGTTAAAATTTTGTGCGCCAGCACCCCCTAGTGCAGCGTAGAGGGGACTGTGCTGTGGACTAGAGAAAATTATCTTGAAAGGTACTCAGTTTGCCTAGGGAAACATATTGGCGAGATTTGTGCAGTGAAGGAGTAGAATCCTGTTGTCACAACAGCTTGACTCCAAAGAGGAGCCTCCATGCATTGTGGAGAGCTTGGAAATGGGAGTAAAAGTTTCCTGCTGTGGACTGAATACCTGATTTCCTGTTCTTTGCTAGTTGTTATTGGTGTTGTTGGGAGATAGGAAAGTTGATCTAGGCCAGCAAGGGTGAAGTGGTGAAGACACCAGCTGATGAATCTATTTCACGTGGCAAGCTGGACCAAAGAATTTCCCCCCTTGGCAACTAATACGCTTTCTCCGTCTGGCATGCACTGCAGCACCCGTAGGGGAGGTCCAAACATACAATCGTCTTCTCTTGCATGTTTATTCCACCTTGCCTCCAATGAGTTTAGAGCACTCGGATTTCTAGACGGGACCCTTGTGCTGATTTGACCAAGCTTGTATACTGCTTTATAACTTACTTCAATAGCATGTTCTAAGTGGTTTAGGTGGGTGGGCCCAGTCCTGCTTACCTGTAGGGATGAGCCTCTTATCACAGGCCTTCAAGGTAATTACCTCTTTCCTCTCCTCTCTGCTGGACAGTCAGCTTCTATTCGTCCATCTTTGGCGTCATGCAGCTACTGTGCCTTCTCACCTGCCCTTTCATTGGTTACGTGATGGACTGGCGCATGAAGGACTGCACAGATGGGCCAAGAAACATGGACACTGCCGGAAGAACGAGGTGAACATTTCATGATCCCCAAATTTGAATGGCAGCATGTGTGTGTGTGTGTGTGTGTGTGTGTGTGTGTGTGTGCCGTCATACAGAGAGTCTGGCGTGAGTACTGGTGTGTGGAGTCTGGCAGGCCCCCAGGACTGACTGCATCTTTTTCTTCTTAGACATAGGGTGGAAGGAAAACCACCCAAAGTTCGCTGCCGTAAGGTCCAGAAGCTCACCAATGCTATCCGGGCCTTTGTCATTACCAACCTGCTGCTAGTGGGGTTTGGTATCACTTGCCTGGTCAACAGCCTCCCCCTACAGGTAACGTCTGTCCTGCCATCATTCGCAGATTGTCTCCCTTCGCTAGTATTATTCCCAGGCCCTCCCAGTCTCCGGGTCTTGCTGTTCATCGGATGAGCCACGTGTACTTTTCCTCCCCCCCCTTCTTTCCCCACAGTATGTGACCTTTGTCTTTCACACCGTGGTGCGTGGCTTTTTCCATTCCGCCTGTGGAGGACTTTATGCGGCTGTGTAAGTTATTTTCCCTGTGTCACTTGAGAGAGGAAGGCAGGCGCCGTGGTCTACCTTATGTTCTTTAATGTGCAACAAGGATGGGGGGAGATGAGGCTTGCTGGTCAGACAAGATCCCCTTTCCATCTAATCCCTGAGCCCTTTCAGTTTGGACATATCCTGCTTTTGGCTTGGCTGCAGTTCTTCCTCACAAGGCTCTGTGGGTGAATTGCGAGGGGGGGGGAGGAGTGACAAAGAGGAGGGCCCTTCTTCTTTCTCACTCCTCCTCTCAGACTCCCTTCTGTAGCTGCACAGCAAGCCAGCGAGGACGCTGGTGGGCCCGGGGGACAGAACGGTGTGTGTCTATGAGGAAAATTCTGACATGGCTTCCTCTGAGGGTGTCAAGACCAATGTTCCCTCTAAGCTGAGTTAGTGTGCTAGCTCACAGTTTTTTAGCCTCTGGCTCACACATTTTTGTCTTAGTTCAGGAAGGAGGGCTCCAGAGCAGACTTAAGTTATGCAGTGGCCAAATGGCTGGCTCACAGTTTTAATGCCAGTAGCTCACGAAGTAGAATTTTTGCTCACACAACTCCACAGCTTAGAGGGAACATTGGTCAAGACTGGTAGTATTGACACGCAACAATTGCTGAAGGGTGTTTAAATCAGACAAGGAAGGAAGAGC